TGATACCATGGTCTTGAAAGCAAAAGCTGTCCTCAGTTTTGTTTAACATTGGTCTAAAGAATTTAGAGATCCGTATATTACTAAAATACTTTATACAACTTTGGTTAGACCTATATTGGAATATGGCTCTGTGGTATGGAACCCTAGCTACCAAATCTATTCTGACAAGTTAGAGTCGGTTCAAAAACAATTTTTACTTTTCGCCTTAGCGCATTTCCGATGGGATGCTAGGCTAAGTCTACCTCCATACACTAGTCGTTTAAAACTTATTAATCTACCTACACTTTCTAGTCGTAGGGAAATTCTTGGCATAACATTCTTAGTGAAACTTTTGAATGGAACTGTTTGCAGTTCTTTTCTCCTGTCTGAAATTAAATTTAATATCCTGGTTCGCCTTTCGAGGCAGTTTAGACCTTTACTGCTAAAATCCTGTAGATTAAATTTTGAACTAAACGAGCCATTCCGCCGTATATGTCATGTTTTTAATTCTCATTCCAGCATATTTGACTTATCTGACTCACTTTTCAAAATTAAAAAGACTTTATTGTTTTCTCTTAATAAATGAAAATGTAACAATTTATTATATTGTAACTTTAGATCTTAGCTGTTGAAATTTTTATTTCTGGAGCTGAGCAGTTTTAGATCTCAGCACTTAAAAAACTCTCTTGCCTTTTCTGACTCGGCTAATTCCCCTCGCGTCGGTTGGGCGGGAGGAGGGTAATCGTTGGGTTATTATTATTATTATTATATTATGAAAAAGTAAGCTACTAGAGGACAATTTGTTATGTGTCAATTTTTCGACTTTTTTGGGACAATTTTGATATATATTAAAGTGCGTATGCATTAATTTGGCAAGTAGGATTTTTGTATCATTATTGGCAAGAGCCATCCTGCGGGGTCGAAAAGTCACATATTTGTGTTTTTAAAACTGATCTTGTCAGAAGGGACTCTGGCTTTGTTTTTTCTGCCAATTCGTGCAGTGTGGAACATTGTGAATTTAGTGGTAGTCGTATGACGTACCGGCCATTATTTGATCGAGTAGTTGTGGCTTTGTAGAAGTCTTCACAATACTGATCTTCTGGGGTTGTAATTGATATGAGGTGGCATTTTTCTAACTCCCGAAATTTCCTTGATTGTGAATTAAGGTATTTTTTGAATTTTCGTCAACTTGAGTTCTTGATGTGGAAACTGGTTCAGGAACTAGTCCACTTAGAATCCAACCAAATATAGTGTTTTGTGCCAATAGTGTATTTGAAATTTTCTCAATACCTTCGAGTATTATCTGTGCTATGAGATCGCTGCCTATTAGAATATCTATTTGAGCGGGGGCGTTGCAGTCGGGATCTGCTAGCTTTAGGTGTGAAACCTTTTGCCAATGCTTGCTATTTATGTGATAGCTTGGAAGCATGTTAGTAAGTTGCGGAAGGACTATAGCTTCTGCTACAATTCGCTTATCCGCTTGGGGGGAAATTAGGGTAATGGGGCAGATGTTATTTGAGTTTTGGACTACTCTTCCGCCCATTCCCGTAATTTTAAAATTGGATTGTTTTGATGGTATACTCTACTTTGATTTTCGCTGTGTAGCGTTTAGGTTTTTATTGCCTTTGAGCAGCATGGTGCTTCTTGGCAATTTTCGGGATTTCGCACTTCGGGATTCGCTGTTGCAACTAAACCCGTCGCTCTTTTCATATTTGCGCTGTTTGGGGGTGATCTGGAAAAATTGTTATAATGAAGCATAGAATGATGTCGTTTATGACAATAAACGCAATTAAATTTGCTTTCGCACTCTTTAAGTGTATGCGCATGTGATAGGCCATTTGTACAAAGTCTTTTTGTTTTTATAAAATTGTTTCTGTCGATAATAGCTTGGGGACTGTGGAAGCTTCTATTTGGGTCGTGTTGAACGGTTTTCGTTCTGACCATTTTTTTATCTACCCTTTCTGCGATTTCGTATTGGGTTATTAAAAAGTCTTTCATCTGTTGCCACGTTGGGCATTTTTTTCGAGATGAGAGCGATTGCTCCCACAAAAGTAACGATTTTTCTGGTAATGCGACGGTGCATATGTTTACCAGTATAGGGTCCCAGCTGGTTGTGGGAATATTTTGTGTCGATAAAACCGACAAACAATTACAAACAGTGGATTGTAGTCTAATAAATTCTTCACTTGTTTCTTTTTGAATTTTAGGCAAGTTTATATGTGTCGTTACTTGTTTATCGACCAATATTCTTTCATTTTCATATCTTGCTTTTAGAGCTTCCCAAGCCAAATTGAAATTGTCGTCATTTAGTGCGAACTGTTTAACTATGACGCCTGCTTGACCTTTTGTTTTGTATCGGTGGTGATACAATTTTTGTGCTTTTGATAATTTTGGATGGTTGATATATACGGCAGTGAACATGTCCCGGAAGGACGGCCATTCTTCATAACCTCCATAAAATATTTCTGTGTCACATGCGGGCACCTCGAGATGGATGCCTGAACTTGCCTCTTGACTTTGAATTTGTGGCAAAAGCCACAAAACACAATAGAATCTACGCAAAAGGAAGGAACAAATTCATGAGAAGTAACGGTATTTCCAATTCAAGCTAACTGAACGCAGACTTTCTGGTGCCTATATTTACTTGTTATTACACTAAAATCCCGTTATCTCAAAAATGAAAAAAGGAATATAAAATTTTTGTTTTTGCAGTTTGAACTTAAGAATATAAAGAAGAAATACATGTACAAAATTTGAACTGAAATACCTATTTACATTGTTTTTACTTCACTTAAAAAACAGTGTCGGGTGAACGCAGACTTTATTGGCTATGTGTATATTTATAAATATATTTAACGCACTTTACACATATTTTTCAAGTCACTTAGTTGTTGTTCTTGTTGTAGCGGCAAAGTTCTTCAGAATTCAGATGAATTAGCTGTAATTACCAGTTCAGTGCGTTAAACATTTTCTTGTGAAAAAATTACCCTGGTCGGTCCAATACCGGGGTGTTTATAGCTCTTTTGCACCAAACTCCTTTCAGCAGCGGAAAAAATAAAATAATTAATTTTAATGTATCACAATTTTTTATTTTTAATGCATGTGTATTAAAAAATTTTTAAAAAAAAGCTTTTTTTCTTGGTGTTTTTTTTTTGAAAAAATTCACTGCCCGCTCACGGATTTGTAATATTCGCGTCTAAATAAGACGATTTAAAAAAATTTCAGTTTTGAGGCCTCTTTAGTTGGGGGACCTAAACTATAAATTTACCAAAGTAATATTTAAAATAGTGCTTCATAAAGGAGCGAATCAAATGTTTGAATATGTTCATATGCATAAATAGAAAATATTTTTGACATATTTTCGTACTCTTCAAATTGTATAGTCAGTTCACCAGAAATCCATTATTTTTCCAATAGATGGCTTTTGTAATGAGAATCTCGCGTTTTAAAAGTTGGATCCGGTTACGGTATACGGCGTTAGAAAGATTTTGAGTCCTCCTATTGGCTGGGATTTAGAAAACATTCCCTGAATTCGGGGTTAAAATGGGTATGTACGGTTAGAAGAAGGGGAAAACTTCAGTTTAGCATCCCACGATTTCAGGTTCAATAGGGGTATGGTTGGATAGAGGAATGGCCGCCGAAAACTTTTAGTTTTCGAGATATTTGCATTTTAAGTTGAAAATTTCACAAATTTTATTTTACAATTTATGCCCTTATTATACACTAACACTTCACTACAATGTTTCTACATATTTATTTTATATTAAATATTTAAATATTTGCTTTAGCATTTTATTTTTACACAATTTTCGTTATATGAACAATAACAAATGGGTTCCATGTTGACATCTAACAAGTGTTGCCATATCTATTATATATATATATTTATATTTTGAAAACGAATTAATATGAACAATAAAAGAGGATTATACCCCAAATACATGAACTATAATTTTGTTCATTCCCTTCTATTGATAAATTATGGTATTGGATTGGCGGTAATAATTATATATATTCGTGATCTGGAGAATCTCCTCTATCCAACCATACTCCTCTTAACCCTGAAATCGTGGGATGCTTAACTAAAGCCGACCCAGAAGTTCTCCAGACTTAGAATTTATATAAATACATAGTTGCCGTTGACTTACGTTTTTGAGCTATTTGCATTTAAAGGTCAAAAATTCAACAATTTAAAGACCCCGTTTCTTCGTTTTATATTGGATTTTCTACTTAAATTTTAACTTTTAATCCACTAACACTTCATTAAATCGTTTTTACACATTTATTTTATATTAAATATTGCATAAATAAAATTTACCTCTCCTATGGATACAGGTTTTCCAGATTGAGAATATATGTGTATGCATATATATAGCTGCCGCTGGCTATAGGGCAAAATTTCGGTTTCTCCGGAGCAGAGATCTGATGGTATGGACGAATAAGATCAAGAATATATACACATATCCCAGCCTGATTTTTTTTTTAGAGATTTGTGTTTGAAGCCCAAAAATTGTAAAACTAATAAATGCTATTTCAGAATGTGTCACACACGCACATTTTTGTTTGGTGGATATATACAATATAAAACAACATAAGCGTAAAATTCATCGTAAATCGAAAAATTGCATACTATAAATTGGTAATTTAAATACAAATGATTCACAAACCATAAGTCACCGACAGCTATGTGTATAAATATCCCTAAGTTGGAGAACCTCCTCTATCTTTACCTATTAACTTAGCAAGCTTAAACTCATTCGGGGGTTGCTATTCTAAATCCCAGCCAATATGCTGTGTAGACTTTTTGGTTTATAGTCAGAAATCTTACGGCCTACCATTATTTACTTCTTATTTAGATTTGAAATTAATGTGTTAGAACATCCACAATAAAAACATCTAAATAAAATTTTAATGAAAACGTTACTTCTTTCTATATGAAAGGTTCTTTTGTATATTGCTTTTACTGTTCTATAGTTGTGTATCGAATAATCTAATTTAGCCTTAACCTTTCCTTTATTTAAATGCTTGCCGGCTTTTTGAGATTGCATTTTTCGATAAGTATCGATTACATTAGAGCCAGCAAAATCGACCATTGTATAAATTTACATGTAACCAGTCCTAATACTATGTTCGCACCGAATTGAAATCCTCTTGAAAACACAATTTGTGGATTGTGGAACCAAAGTCGTTCTGACCGACATTGTGTGTTTTCGATGAGTTTTCATTGACAGTTCACACATCTATTTGTTTACATTTGTTATGTACCCTACAAGAAAAGTGACGGTCATCTGATCTCATCCCCTCCTCTCAATAGCTCTGCTTACGTCTTTCTTCAATCAGTGGTTCTGAATGTAAAAATTCAAATGTAAATTAACAGTACTGACATTTGTTGTTATTGTTGTAACGGTCCCCGTTTGGGTGATTAATTCCAGATTCGTTGTCGTCGAGGTCATCTAACGGGAGGCCCAGGAAACGAGCTGTTTCGACGAGGTCGGACCATAGGGAGAAGGGTGTTAGATGAGTGGGGTTTGTTGGGCATGCAAAGAGGTGGTTAGTGTCATGCGGAGAACCATTGCGTGCAGGACATGTGTTTGGTATGTCGGGGTCTATTCTGGATAAGTAGGAGTTTAACCTGCTACAGTATCCAGAATGAAGTTGCGCGAGGGTCACTCTGGTTTCGTGAGGCAACTCGAGCTCTACGTCTGCTATAGGTGGTTGGTGGTTTGACTCATAGTACGCCATTCACTGAGAGGGAGTCGATGAAGGTGTTAACGGCTCCACTGTGAATGTGGTCAGTGCCTGTCTGAAGTTCATAGCGTCCGAAGTCCGGTCGGCGTACTGTCTGATGTCGTCGACGTAATCAAGGAAAGACCTCTTGATGTTCCTAGGAGGCGGCTCCGCTACAAGCAGGCGACTACAGGGGTGGTTTCTACGAAAGCACCCTAGCAGAAACTGTTTGGAGAGGAGTTCGTTGTGTTCCTTAACCGGAAGCATACGGGCCTCACTATGTAGGTGTTCGATTGGAGACATCAAGAGGCATCCCGTGATAGTCCGGAGTGCAGCGTACTGACAGGTCTGAAGCTTCTTCTTCTGCGTGCCACTGCATCCAGGCGACCATATTGTTCAAAGTAGACATCTGTATATACGGCATAATTCAAATTTGATTGTTTGGGTTTGAAGTCGAGTAAAAATGAGTCTTCGGATGTATGCTTTTCAACATTTTCTTTCAACAAATATTTGCTCGATTTATTTTTACACTTATTAAAATTTCGTGAAGAAAGCGCTTGAGTTGCCTTAGCAGGTGGAATCTTGAATACTTCTGGCGATATAGGTATTAGTCGTTTATTTTTTCTAGAAATTTTCAAATGATTATTAAAGGTGCTCTTTTACTCCTTTTGTAAGCGTTCAGAGTTTTTAGTTAGAGCTACATTTTCAGCCAAATTTCCATTTCTCGGCTCGTTTGAAGTAGGGCATTTATAATCAAAATTAGTGTTCAGATTTATGTCATCCAAATCAGCTTCATAATACTGCTTCTGTAGATCAATCTGTGATTTTGTGCGATAACTGAAAGGTTGCGAATGTTCATCGCGGTATGCCCCTAATACATCATCATAAATAATTTTTAGAGCCACTTTCTGAGCGGTATATGTATGGAGGTTGATTCCATCATAAATATAATTCGTTTTCTCATTGGTAGCCTTTACTTGATTTGTTTTCAATTTGTTTTTTTGTTTTTCAGCATTTTCGGTTTTCGTCAATTTTTTGGTTGTAGTTGGAGGAAGTGGCGGTGGAGACGATGGAGGTTTTAATTTTCCAAGTTGATGTGATTGTATTGTGTGTTTAGCGCGTGCAACCAAAGTGTTGGACAATAAATTTTGAGTCTGCAAATTAATATTATCAGTTAACGAATTCGATGTTTTACTATTATTGACATTGGGCGAATAATTTTGTCCTCTGCTCTTTGAAGACGACGGCAAAATATGTTTGACACTTGTTGTACTTAAACTAGCACAAGATGAGATAGACGAAGATGAATTTGATGATAACGATGAAGCAGACAGAGACATATTTTCCAAGTACTTCAAAGAAATTTCAGGTGTTATTAGAGTTTCGTTAATGATCTCATTTTGTTGAGTTGCTTTCAAAGTATACCAAAGCGTGCCATATGATGATTTTGTAGTGGTTATATCAGATGCAATACGCTGAGCTAATGGATTTAAATTATAAAAATAATCTTGTGCCATTTGCAGATTTAACGAGGTAAACTGGAAAGCGGCCATTTTTATAACACTTATTTTTATGTAGCTCATACAAACGGGAGTTTTCACGACTTTCCTGATAATTCCATTCTAAATAATAGAAAATTGTGTTACTACCATCAGTAAACAGCTTTGATTACATGGCAAGTGGGTTACGAGATTCGGTGTTCCAATGGAGTTAAATTCTGATCAAGAATGAAATCTCGAGTCAGCTTTCGGCAACATGTTGAAAAATGGTTTCTCAATATCTGGTTAGCAACATTCTGTCAGTTAAGTTCTGGTAAACTGTTCCGAATAAAGGAGCCTTGGTTAGTTTCTAACCAGAAAATTAAATGACACCTGTCCGCTGTAAAATCTTAAGTAAAAATCAGCAGCATAAATGGCTTTCGGACGGGGACTTTTTTGTCGTTCATTCTCATTATATGTTATTTGAGTATTCACAAGGTGTCATATTGTGTCATATCGCCATATTGTTTTATTTTTTTATGACTGTCATATCAACACTGTTGTTGTTTCCCATGCAAAATTGAAATACGACAAATACAACATGGCGAGGTATGTTTTTTGAGTGTACTATTCCTTCAGCTGTATATGTTTACGTTTTTATTGTTGACGTTTAAGTGCCTAAAATTAATAAATTAATTAAATTTCATAAATTTCTTTAATAATATGGAAGGAAACCATGATATTCCAGTAAATTAAGTTAAAGAAAAGTAAAAACCAAAACGCCGCCATTTCAACATAAAGAAATTTTATTTTTGTCACTTTCTCGGGGCATTTTTGTATTCTTAATTTTTTACTACTAGCTGGTGAAGTGTATTAATATTACACAATATGACATACAACAATTAAGGGGTGCTCACATGTGTCGTATTTTTTAAGATTCTTGAAATACGACATAAGACATAAGACAAAGCTTGTGAAATGCCTATATGCATATTTGCATTCATATATGCATATATCATACAAAAAAGAGGTAATAACCTTAATATTTCCGAAAATTATGTAAATATTCCTTTGAAACCGAGCTCTGTTGCAACCATGCAACGCATTTTAAAATGAAAAGAAAACGACGAATTGCATAGCAACGAGCTGTTACGAAATAGATCACATAGCGTTTCTTCGTTTTTCCTCCTCGTCCCCTCGCTTACGAAAACCGGTTTTGACAGCAAAAAGAAACCGCCGCCACCGAATGTCATGCTGGCACCCCACGTCAATACTTTCCGCAATTTTTATGCTGGTGGGTTTCGGTCAGCTTCAAGGCGAAAACGGTTCTGTCAGTCAAAGCTGGTGTAAAGTAAAGTGGGCCTTAATTTATTAGTTTATAATGAAAAAGTTTGAGTGAAATGAATAGAATAATGTTGCGTAAAAAAAATTTGGATTATATTCAACTAAACGCATTTATCTATTGACAATTATTATGGTTATCGAATTCACTTCTCCCACAAAAATTTTTTGGCACCTTTTATATCCGAAGGAACATTTAAAAAACTCGTTTTTAATGGGTTACTAGAGGATCTCGTACACGAATTGCTGTGGCTAAGGTATACATTATTTATAAACTATTCAATACAGTAAAATTGTATTTATGAATAAAAACGAAAACGTTATTGCCGGTGTAAGAATAACCCCGCGGATTACTTCCAAATTAGAAAATTATTGATACTACTTTTCATCGATTTGTTATTAAGCTCAAAGAAATATTAAATATGTTATGTTGATTTTTTTTTATAAACTTTATATTCAAGTTGGTAACTAATGAGTAATTTTCAAAGTTGTTAGTTGATAACATTTGAGTAATGGAAGAAGGTAGATCATTCTTAATTTTTAACAATAATATTTATAGGTTTTCTTTATAAACATTTTCAAATTCAAATTGATTTAGCTCTTTTGTATTGCATTGTACATCTGGCAGTATCATTGGAAAACGTGGCAAGAAGACCATTTCTCCATTAAATTTTCAAGTCAAAATGGTTGCTATAGTAATATTTTTGATTACCAAACGTGTACCGTTACATAATTAAGATGGATTCAAATTACGCTGAATAATACTAGGTGAACCAATTTTTAACCTAAGATTATGTGATGAAATTCCGAGATTCTAGATAATATATTGTTCCAATTTCATCATCAACAGTAGTTATTTAAAATGCATCTGGTAACTTGCAACAACTATTGCAACTGGAAACTATTTTAATCAACTTCTACATTTTTGGCCGCTAGTGTAGTTAGTTGATCCAAAATAATTAATTTTTATTTTTCGGAACGTACTCTCAATTAATTAAGCTTTTTTTTCGTTATACACTGCGTACTTGTTAAATTGTATTGTTTCTTAGGGTGGATCACTTTGTAATTGTTTGCACACATTTATGGTCCATTGAAGTGTTTCACCATCCATGATAAGACAGCACCACTGAAAACTTCATCGTTGCCGTTTAAATCGTGCATTGTTCTGTGCAATGCTTGGGGAATATTTGTGAGCTATTATGCTCTCATCTCAAATTATAATTGAACTTTTTATCAACACTGCTCTATTCCGCTATTTTTTATATTAGAAGTTGCGTTTGGTTATTTTTGAGTGCCTCTGCGTCATTCGTCGATAATTTAGCAAAGTAGCCGCAACGCCTTGTCGATCCATGCGATTTCTTATCGGTTCCACATGGCGCGTCCTAAAAAAAAACAGCCTTTTTCAGTAGCAACATCCACTATAACCCATATATTTATGTATATGTACAAAAATTACTGTACTCTTGCAGTTGCAATTATTATTATTTTTTTTTAAGTTCTAAGCTATCTCCTCAACAATTTTCAGCCAAATCGGTTAAACCGTTCTAGTGTTATTAATAGTCTAACTAACACGACTCGTTTTTGTATACACTTCATTTTTCAAAATCAATATATTTTGTACTTATAAATTCAAACAAATACAACATTCGCATTCAGAATCCCTTTTAACCATTCACTTAATTTCATTTATTCTAATCATTTCACTTAAAAAATTTCCCCGAAAAAAGTAAATTCTTGTATTTTATCAATCTTGATTCCTTTCAGCATTCCTGACTTACTGAGGCCCACACGTACTTCTTTCTCGAAGAACGTTATCAAAATTATAAACTGAAATTTTTAAATCGTCTTATTTAGACGCGAATAATATAAACTGAGCGGGCAGTGAATTTTTCACATTCTTTTTCAAACAAACCAAGAAAGCTTTTAATTTTAATACACATGCATTAAAAATAATAAAATTGATATATTAAATTGGTATTTATTTTTCATAGTGAGTTTTGTGTAAAGAGTTTATAAATACCCTGGTGTTGACTGACTAGGTAATTTTTCATAAGAAAAGGTTATCTGCAACGCACCAACCGTTCCCTGAGCCAATAACTCATCGATTGTTCTTTGAATTTCAAACTTCTCCATAAACGAGAGTCTTCTCGCACTACTGTACACTGGATTTAGTCTTCAATTTAATATGCATTGAGTAACCATTAACCTCCGACCCATTAGTGTCTGGACACTTTTCGTTTAATTGTGCATATATTATGTACAGTGCTAGCAGACTGGCAACTAGCTAGTGGGCTTCTATATACAAAATCAAGAAAGCGAAGTGCACGGACAAATTTTTCCGAAACACGAAACTTATTTTAAGCTCTTATGTTAAATAACTCCTTTGGCTTAAAACTAATTGTCTTTGTTTGGCACAATGCTATTTGCATTTTGTTTAAAAGGTCACGCCCAACCAGCACTGGTAAAATCTCATCTGAATCTGGCAAAATAGCATTATTGTGGAGCAATTCTTGCTGAAAAAATATAAATTTACATGTGAAAATGCCATAAATTCTTAATTGCTTATTACCGATTCCACGATATTGTGTCAACTTTTGTTCCCTGTTGGGGTTTACTGATTATGACACGTAAGACCGTTTTATGAAACTAATGGCACCGCCAGTATCAAATTAAGCAAAAAGAGGAATTATTTCAGTGCACTTTTCTTTATTGAGGAAGGCAACACTCACCAAATTATTTGAAGAAAATCGTTCTGCCAGTTGACGGACTTCAGGATTTGCATCATCTCCTACAGCGGCTGCAATATAACGGTTGTTTCTTGTAGCGTAACGAGGACAGTTTTGGCGTGTGTGGCCGATTTCAGAGCACATGAAGCATGAATTTGGTGGACGTCTGGGATCCGTACAAGCATTCGGATAGTGGCCATGTTGAAAGCAACTAAAACAATATCCACTTTTCCACTTAAAGCTGGTTTGGCCTTTGTCGGGATGGTCGCTGGGACTGTGAAAATTTTCCGCTTCTTTTCATAGAGCTCCATAAGAGTCTTCAAATCTCTGATTGAATTGGCGCCATATAACATCGTACCATAAGAAAATTTGTCATTCAAACAATCAATGATTATATCATCCAAATCAGCTTCAAGTACTTTAACTCGGCTAGCAATATATTGCATTTGGACAATGTATTATCACGGTGTTTCTGCTGGTTTAATACGACGTGATTTAAACTTATTGAAAATACGAACACATTGCAGCAGCATCAATGAATATTTTAGCGTGGCAAATTTGTAAATGACGAGCAGCAATTAACTTGTATCTGTCACCGACAGAAAACCTTTACGCCAAAATACAACCGCCCATCGCTACGCACACCCCAAAGACGCGAACCCAAATTTAATTGGCGCCATTGCTCAAACGACCAAAAATTCAACGATCCATGCTGTCATTTGAATAAAAAATTTACTCAAACGCATCCTTAAAGAAAGTGAAAAAACTACGTGTGATTAATAGTAAGTATGGTTTAAAATACTAAAAAATATGAACTTAAAGAACATTAAGCTAAAAGGAGAAAAATAATATAGGTTTAAAAAATTAAAAAACACGCTTTTAAACCACTTCAAACTAAAAAGCGAAAAAAAAAATTCCTTATATAAACTGACAGAAATATTGACCGATGGTGTGCGATTCGGTTCAGATGGTGTGCACACGATTAAACCGGTATCGATACAATTTCCAGTAAAATATACGATCTCATGACCAGTTCCTGAACCGCTCACATCAAGAACCTGCTGACGAAAACTGTTAGAATACCCACCCACAATCACGAAATTTTATTAGAAAAATGCCACCTCACATCACCACACAATCCTGAAGATCAGTACAAGACTCTACAGCCACAACCACCGATCAAATAACACGGCCAAAATAGTTGCGCATGATTACTACTAAATTGCTAATAATGCATACTGTACGAATTAGCAGAAAATAAAGTTAGAGTTCTTCTGATAAGATTTCAGTTTAAATAATAAATATGTAAAGAATTATTATTATAATATTATTTGTATTTAGTTGAACAATTTAGTTTATTATTCGAATTTTATTATGACGTTGTACACAATAAAATTCCTTAATATACATGTTTATATATTGAACAATTTATAATATAGGATCGGTAACGTATTGAAGTGTTACGCGCAGGAGCTGTCGTATCGAATTTTAGGTGTTGACGCGGCGCAGTGTAGACTTGAAAATTTGAGTTGCGCGCAGGATCGTTATTACTTCGAATGAGGTGAAAAAGCTGCGCTGATCATTCATTTTGTTAGCTGGTGATGTACACGCGAGGTATTGTGGTGTGTTGTACTGTCCTATGTGGTGTCATCTGGTGTGTTGTATTGGTGAGAATGTGGTGGGCATTATTAGGGTGCGCCAGTTTTTCCGAGTAGAGTGGTGTGGTTATTTACTGAGGCTTAGCTCATTTAAACATCCTGGGCCCCCTAAGCGAATATTTTGCCTAGTGTTGCACATATTTGCAGTAAACGTTCCAGGTATCTCGGCGTACTGCTTTTGGAGTAGCAGAGCGTGCGGTATGCATGATAATGCAATAGTGGTATTTACCTGCGTGTAGGATGGAATTTTGATTTTGAAATGGGTATTATGTGTTTTGATTTGGAAGTTAGTGCGTTAAGCAAGCAACGTTGTTTTGCATTTATTCGATTGGTGGTTGTGACGACGTATTATTAGATGGTATAATTTCGTTTATTCATTTTATTGCCGGTTATCTACTATTACTTTATTATCGGCTTATAGGATGGCCACTCCACGCCTAGCTCGATATGGCCAGAATGGATGCTCCTTTGAAACCTTTGAAGAGAGATATTGCGAGCGTAAGATTTGTGATTTATGGCTACTTTTTAGTGGATTTGTACAAGTATTACAAGTATTTCCCATAAACCACCAATACGAGGAGGGCTTAGATATATGCGATTAGAGCGACCTTTGCTTGTTGTAAGGCTTGGTGTGTCATTGTATCACATTGGGAGTATAGTGATTGCTTTATTTTTAAATTGTTTTATATGATTATATTATGAAAAAGTAAGCTACTAGAGGACAATTTGTTATGTGTACTTTTTTGGGACAATTTTGATATATGTTAAAGTGCGTATGCACTAATTTGTGTTTTTAAAACTGATCTTGTCAGAAGGGACTCTGACTTTGTTTTTTCTGCCAATTCGTGTAGTGTTGGAACATTGTGGCTTTAGCGGTAGTCGTACGACGTGCCGACCATTATTTGATCGAGTAGTTGTGGCTTTGTAGAAGTCTTCACAATACTGATCTTCTGGGGTTTTAATTGAAATGGGGGGAAGTTCTTCTAACTCCTAAAATGTTTTCAATTGTGAATTGAGGTATTCATTTGAGATTTCCTCAACTTGAGTTGTCATAGCGGTAACTGGTTCCGTAACTAGCCCGCTTAGGATCCAAACGAAAATGGTATTTTGTGCCAATAGTGTATTTGAAATTTTCACAATACCTTCGAGTATTATCTGTAGTATGAGATCGCTGCCTATTAGAATATCTATTTGAGCGGGGGCGTTGCAGTTGGGATCTGCTAGCTTTAGGTGTGAAACCTTTTGCCAATGCTTGCTATGTATGTGATAGTAAGTTGCGGTAGGACTATAACTTCTGCTACAATTCGCTTATCCGCTTGGGGGGAAATTAAGGTAAAGGGGCAGATTTTATTTGAGTTTTGGACGACTCTTCCGCCCATTTTCACTTTGCATGACGGTGGGTAGTAGTACTCTACTTTGATTTTCGCTGTGTAGCGTTTGGGTTTTTATTGCCTTTAAGCAGCATGGTGCTTCTTGGCAATTTTCGGGATTTCGCACTTCAGGATTTGCTGTTGCACATAAACCCGTGGCTCTTTTCATATTTGCGCTGTTTGGAAGTGAGCTGGAAAATGTGCTAAAATGCAGCATTGAACGATGTCTTTTATGACAATAAACGCAATTAAATTTGCTTTCGCACTCTTTAAGTGTAAGCACATGTGACAGGCGGTTTGTACAAAGTCGTTTTGTTTTAACGAAATTATTTCGGTCGATAATATTCAATTTTTTGAATTTCTCGCAAGATTTGAGCTTTGTTTGTACTGTTCGGATGTGAACGTTTTTTTTCTGAAGAAGCTTTTATTTAAATTGTTGTTGCTACTGGCTTGGGGACTGTGGAAGCTTCTATTTGGGTCGTGTTGAACGGTTTTCGTTCTGACCATTTTTTTTATCTACCCTTTCTGCGATTTCGTATTGGGTTATTAAAAAGTCTTTCATCTGTTGCCACGTTGGGCATTTTTTTCGAGATGAGAGCGATTGCTCCCACAAAAGTAACGATTTTTCTGGTAATGCGACGGTGCATATGTTTACCAGTATAGGGTCCCAGCTGTTTGTGGGAATATTTTGTGTCGATAAAACCGACAAACAATTAGAAACAGTGGATTGTAGTCTAATAAATTCTTCACTTGTTTCTTTTTGAATTTTAGGCAAGTTTATAAGTGTCGTTACTTGTTTATCGACCAATATTCTTTCATTTTCATATCTTGCTTTTAGAGCTTCCCAAGCCAAATTGAAATTGTCGTCATTTAGTGCGAACTGTTTAACTATGACGCCTGCTTGACCTTTTGTTTTGTATCGGAGGTGATACAATTTTTGTGCTTTTGATAATTTTGGATGGTTGATATATACGGCAGTGAACATGTCCCGGAAGGACGGCCATTCTTCATAACCTCCATAAAATATTTCTGTGTCACATGCGGGCACCTCGAGATGGATGCCTGAACTTGCCTCTTGACTTTGAATTTGTGGCAAAAGCCACAAAACACAATAGAATCTACGCAAAATGAAGGAACAAATTCATGAGAAGTAACGGTATTTCCAATTCAAGCTAACTGAACGCAGACTTTCTGGTGCCTATATTTACTTGTTATTACACTAAAATCCCGTTATCTCAAAAATGAAAAAAGGAATATAAAATTTTTGTTTTTGCATTTTGAACTTAAGAATATAAAGAAGAAATACATGTACAAAATTTGAACTGAAATATCTATTTACATTGTTTTTACTTCACTTAAAAAATAGTGTCGGGTGAACGCAGACTTTATTGGCTATGTGTATTATTATAAATATATTTAACGCACTTTACACATATTTTTCAAGTCACTTAGTTGTTGTTCTTGTTGTAGCGGAAAAGTTCTTCAGAATTCAGATGAATTAGCTGTAATTACCAGTTCAGTGCGTTAAACATTTTCTTGTGAAAAAATTACCCTGGTCGGTCCAACACCGGGGTGTTTATAGCTCTTTTGCACCAAACTCCTTTCAGCAGCGGAAAAAATAAAATAATTAATTTTAATGTATCACAATTTTTTATTTTTAATGCATGTGTATTAAAAAAATTTAAAAAAAAAGCTTTTTTTTTGGTTTTTTTTTTTTGAAAAAAAATAAAAAAAAATTATTGAAAAAATTCACTGCCCGCTCACGGATTTGTAATATTCGCGTCTAAATAAGACGATTTAAAAAAATTTCAGTTTTGAGGCCTCCTTAGTTGGGGGACCTAAACTATAAATTTACCAAAGTAATATTTAAAATAGTGCTTCATAAAGGAGCGAATCAAATGTTTGAATATGTTCATATGCATATATGGAAAATATTTTTGACATATTTTCGTACTCTTCAAATTGTATAGTCAGTTCACCAGAAATCCATTATTTTTCCAATAGATGGCTTTTGTAATGAGAATCTCGCGTTTTAAAAGTTGGATCCGGTTACGGTATACGGCGTTAGAAAGATTTTGAGTCCTCCTATTGGCTGGGATTTAGAAAACATTCCCTGAATTCGGGGTTAAAATGGGTATGTACGGTTAGAAGGGGAAAACTTCAGTTTAGCATCCCACGATTTCAGGTTCAATAGGGGTATGGTTGGATAGAGGAATGGCCGCCGAAAACTTTTAGTTTTCGAGATATTTGCATTTTAAGTTGAAAATTTCACAAATTTTATTTTACAATTTCTCGACTTATTATACACTAACACTTCACTACAATGTTTCTACATATTTATTTTATATTAAATATTTAAATATTTGCTTTAGCATTTTATTTTTACACAATTTTCGTTATATGAACAATAACAAATGGGTTCCATGTTGACATCTAACAAGTGTTGCCATATCTATTATATATATATATTTATATTTTGAAAACGAATTAATATGAACAATAAAAGAGGATTATACCCCAAATACATGAACTATAATTTTGTTCATTCCCTTCTATTGATAAATTATGGTATTGGATTGGCGGTAATAATTATATATATTCGTGATCTGGAGAATCTCCTCTATCCAACCATACTCCTCTTAACCCTGAAATCGTGGGATGCTTAACTAAAGCCGACCCAGAAGTTCTCCAGACTTAGAATTTATATAAATACATAGTTGCCGTTGACTTACGTTTTTGAGCTATTTGCATTTAAAGGTCAAAAATTCAACAATTTAAAGACCCCGTTTCTTCGTTTTATATTGGATTTTCTACTTAAATTTTAACTTTTAATCCACTAACACTT